CTCAGCTACTTATTACAATTTTAACTGCAATTTCTTAGTATGTTTTTTTCTTATTCAATGTCTTTCCAGGCCACTGGACTATAAAGTTCATAAATGCTGGAAAAACTGGCTTTCATTTGCCCCAGGACCCAGCAAGGCCTGACCTACAACAGGCACTCAGCAAAGATTTGTTGAAAAAGATGTTTATTTTTAACATTCGTAATTCAGTTTAGACAATGATCTGAACCAAAATATCACCGTTCGGTAAATAGCTGCAGTTTGCCTTTGAGTACTCATCCTCAGGTGCAAGTTCACACCGAATGTAAGTTACATAAACAATTTTTATTGATCACCTGTGATTCTTCTTCCAATGCTGAGCCAGATCACCAAAGGGTCAAAATGCTTTTTGAGGGATGTGAGTTAATGGAAAGAACAAGATGATCTTAGATTTTACTATTTTTCATATTTACTATAGTAATTACCACATTATTAGTGATCAAATTTGGGACACAGTGATTTGTCGTTTGCCTTACCTTTTTGTAGAAAAATGATGGTAAAGGTGTTTTCATTTTGCTTCTTTGATAGGAACATGGACGGGTTGTCAGTGGTTGCGACAGGAACCAGACAAGCAGGCCGACTGGGCACAGCTTCAGAGGACACTGTTCCTCCCTGGGTTCCTACAGGGGACCCTTGCAGTGCCATCCTTGGGAGGACCCAGGGGGTTTGCTGTTTGATGGTGACAGGGCCGTGGACCACCAGCATTGCTAGACAACTCATCTCCCTGTTTTTATTGTCGCTCTTTTTGGTTCCTTCTGCAGAATCCAGAATGATCTTTTCAAAGCTTATGTGAGAGCATGACATATTTCACTGAGCTATAGTCTCCTTAAAACCCTCTGCTGACCTCTAACTGCTGAGAACCAAAATGAAACCCCCCTGTCCTGGCTCAGGGGCTGGGCCCTCTGGGATCTGCCCTTGGCCTGCGTCTCCCACCTGTGGCTTCCCCACCCCTGGCCCCTAGGTTCAGGCCCCAAGGCATCTCTCCTGTCCCTCACGCAGCCGACCTTCCACCTGACTGGGGGGCTTTGGACCTGTGGTGTTCTCTGCCTGCTCCCGTCTTCCTGCATGGATTCCTGTCTTCGACTCCCCTTTACCACTTTCTTATCATCCTTCGGGTCTCCACTTAAATGCCACCCTGGCCTGGTTCTGAAGTCCACGCCACCTTAACGTCCCTAGCTGATGTCTGCCATGTCACATCTCTACATTTCTTCACTTCTCATCTGTCTGCTCCACTGGACAAGAGGCTCCGTGAAAGCTGGGCATTATCATTCGAGCCCTGTTTGGTTGCAGTTTGGTTCTCAGAATGGAGCTAGGCCCCTGGCGAGCACCCCAAGGATAGGGGTTAAATGGACA